GGGCGAGATGTGACGTAGAAACATCAACGCGGCAAAACAAAGCAAACAAACAAGGCTAATTACGCACACAGGACGAGATATTTTTGGAAGCTTTTGGAGGTTCTTTCTTCGCTTTTTTGACTTAAAGCGAAAGTATGCCTGGTAGACGTTGTGTTGTTCAGGACTGTGGAAACGTAAAGAACGATGAATTAGGGATTTCTATTCATAATTCTCCTGATTCGGGCAGTGTTAGATTAAAGTGGAAAAGGTTCGTGTCCATTCATAGGGAGGATTTCAACCCAGTGGGAAAATTTGCTGTGTGATCGGAGCATTTTACAAGGGATTGTTTTACGCTTGCTTTTCCGATGAAAGACATGAAAAGGAATTTGAAGAAGGGGACGTTTCCAACCATTTGGAAAAAATCTTCTCAAACACTATCAAAGCGGAGTCGACTACCGGTGAGTGAAATTACAATGTGTTTGCGCTGTGCTTATCACCATTATATTTATTTCCCCATTTACCTGTGACATGATTTTTTCTGGCATCGTTGTTGAATATTCGTGTAATGAATGCTCTGACTATTTGGACTTCCCATATTGTTGCATGTGTTTTCATACTTTTCTGCTTTCTTCTCATAGTTATAGGAAAACGGGCATTTGCGCTGAGTGGACGTGAAGTCAATTCCCCAATTCCCAGACCTTTCCACTCAAGCGTAAAATTTAGAAAAAGTGAAGCTACATAGAAATCCGGCTCTCTATTTTTTGAGAGATTATCTTGCTGTTACTTTGAGATTTGACAGCACTCCAAACTTCCCTCCAAGAAATCTTGCAGCAAATTAAGAGTTACACGCGAGTCTTTTAAAACGACCAAAAATGGACTTTCTTGGGGTTCTTTGCTTGAGGTAAATCCTGAAAAGGAGGGCTGCATCCCTGAGACTGAGACGGATGAGATAAGTGTTGATGCTGAGATGGCTTCAGAGGTCCTAGGTACTCCTGGTGATAAGACAGCTCTCGAGAGCCAACGCATTTCAGGCACTGATGAGGTTACTGAGACCATGCAGATCCTGGAGGCTCAGGGAATCGAAAAAGTGCAGGATATGGATGAAGTTATGCAGATTGATGAATCATTAACGATTCCTGAACTTGAACAGGTTTCTATGGTAGGCGCATAACTCTAATCAATGTTTATTTGCATCTTTGTATTATCATAACAATGGAAAACTACATGTGCAGTTATTTTACAACAATACTAAAACACAAAAATTCTAAAGTCTTGTCATTACAACCTGTATTTATGTTAAGAGTTTGTTTTTTGTAGGATACTCCAACTGGACATGCTGGGAATTGCACAACATGCAAAACCCTGAGGAGTGAGGTGACTCAGTTAAGGGGCAAAGTCACAAGACTGAAGAGTAAGTTAATCTCCAATCAAGATCAGTGGGTTGAAACCTTTAAGAGCATACGAGAGCCGAAGCAGTTGCTGATGGTGAATGCTGGTGAGTCAACAATAATTGATGTTGATGAGTCATATGGGCGTAACTGTCTATCTTTATATTTTTATTATATTTTATCAATATTTGATTATTTAATAATCCCAACCCACAATTAGCCAGGTTTACAACAAGTTGAAAAACTGGCAACACCCTGAGAAAAACAATAAAAATAATCATTTTTTTTTATTGTTGTTTTATTATTTCAGATTCTATGATTAAATGAGTATTTCCTTTCAATCATTTTTTATAGGTTGGATCTACAAGAAAAAAAACATTCGAGAGGAACCGAAGGGAATTGTTTTCCTTTCCAAACTTCTTCTTTTGTTTCAGTTCTGCCACTTGTGCTTCTTTTCAAAACCCAAACTTTCTGTATCACAGACAGGTACCTTGTTAACCTTAGAAAGTTTCTGCAGAACCTGTAGCCAGACAAAAGTCTGCAAGAGTCAACCAGACCTGCTAGGAAAGTTTCCAGCAGGTAACCTGCTATTAAGTTTTGCAGTGCTTGGTGAGCCGAGTGAAAAGAAAGAAACGATACATTAAAACTGTAATTAAATTCAGGCTGAATTCGATTTAATTTTTATTACTTGTGTACATGAAAATTGGAGCAACATCAGAATTCTCAGCCACTAAACTTGAGTTTAACTGAACGCTAGAAGAACAGGGCTTCACACAGTGGGCAAGTTTGTCATTCAACAAAAAGCGAGTAAGTGGCTGAGAATTCTGAAGTTTGGCCCACAAAATTAAGTGCTTACGGACAAGTATTCAAGCAACTACTGTAGGTCCTTCTTGGCCCCAGTGGCATACATGACACTCTTCAAGAACAAACAGTGCATTTATTATTCATTTTCTTCATCTTCGAATCCACGATAATGGCCATTTTGACTCGGAAATTGTTTCCTGATTTTATTGTAGGCACAACAGGGCAAGGGGTATCACCTGGAACTACCAATATAACTCCACAGCAGTCTTGTAAATTGGCGATAGGCCACAGACCTCAGGAATCTAGTTAGAGAAATGAGGTCACTGTTAATTCAAGGAGGGATTGGATGGAGATAAATAAATACTCTTTTTAAAAATAAGCAGTTGGGGCAATAAAGCCATTTAGAAAATAAAAAATGTGATTCTATGAGATCAGTCCACGGCGATAAGCTTAGATGTATCAATTATTCAATGCTACGTAAGGTTCGATCGTACCGATACAAAGTCAACAATACCCCAACTTACTCATCATCACTTTTGTTGCTTTGCCCTCGAACAGCTGTGTACGACTTTCCAGCTCGCGTTTTTAGGCCCAGTGCAGCCACTTCTAATACGTGGCGGGTTAAGCAGACGAGTTCAAACCCTGGATGGAGGGTTATGCATACGGTCCGGTCTCCAATGGCTTCTTCCATGACCTCTTCGCAGCGATCGATCTCTTTGCAGCAAATGCACTCCTACGCTTTTGTAACAAGGCTGACAGAGCAGTTCGAGCACGAACACCTGCAAAATAATGTGAAAAATTCGTCAAACACAAGAAAAATACGTCTGTATAAAATTATTAATTGTCTGACCTCTTCAATAAAACTATCGCATAAAATCAGTACTACAGCTAATCACATAGCAACGAAATTGTAAACTTAAACAAAACACACAGTCGCGTTCGTCACGCGCACGATTTAACGACGGGTATGTTGAAATTGGAAAATAAAAATATAAATCTACATTCCATGATAATACCATACCATTCATTCGCTGGCACCTCTCCCGAATATCTTCGTTGAAACTGTTGTTCCCCTTCTTCTTCGCGATGAACTCTTTCGTTGTAGTCCGCGGCTTCTTCCTCGGTAGCAAGGGGTTCGCGCAACTGTCGTCGTACGGCGCAAATTCAGACAATTCCCCAATCACTTCGTCAACTGTAAAACTTTCTAGATCACTTTCAGATGTGCAGGAAGAGGAATCCGACGGAGATGACATCTTAAACGTCTTGTTAAAAGGCTCTAAACTCACAAACTTTTCCCAAATGCGAATCTTTTAGTTGATGTTTCTACGTCACAGTGCATAAATCACGTGGTCAAACGCACGACCGCTTTGCGGAGATCTCGCGGGCTATTGCTTTGCGAACTTTGTAATGGCGGACGGTATTTACGCACTTTTCAGTGGGAAATTTCCAGCCCCGTACGCAAGTATCGTTCCAATTTTTCGCTATTTGTATAATTTTGAACATATACAAAAGAATTATGTTAAAAAAACTCGGAAACAAAAACAAAAATTTTCGTCGTAGTAGCACTTTAAACTAGGAATTATTTTGAATGAATAATAAAGTAATTAATGAGTTCGGCTTTCGTAGTATATGAAGAATTAAGCGGATCTCGGCGGGTGTTATCGGCCGAGGTGGATAACAGCGCCTCGATCTGCTTAATTCTTCATATCCTATATATTCAGCCTCATTCAGTAATTGCTGACTATTATTATTATTATTATTGTTATTGTTGTTGTTGTCAATAATGATACTTATTATTGGATTTACTTGTCCTCCCACCATCCATTTCAAGTTTATCACAAAGTGCCACAAGTGTTTTTACAAAGTGAGACAAGTGTTATTAAAAAGTGCGACGATGTTATTACAAAGTGTGATAGGTGTTACAAAATGCGACGATTATTAAAAAGTGCGATAGAACATGGAGTCCATGTGCATTATTTATTACACTCCATTTGGTTTTCTATGATTTTTATATCCGAGAATTATGCTATTTCACACGGAGACTATGATCTAATTCTATTTTCCTTTTTAAATTGCCTTTTCTTTCCACCCATTCAGGATGAAGCGTGAAACAGTTACTGGATAAGAGACATCTTGTCAAATTTACAGCTTACAAGAGTACAATAGCGTTTTTTCCCCGTTTCCATAATGTCTACTAGCTGTAATTATGATTCTAGATTGAGAAAAGCGTTTAAGACGGAATCCACCAGGAAATTGAGTAATTTCAATTTTCAGTGGACAAAAACCTTGTACCAAAATAGTTAAAAGAGTATTGCATTTTTTTTTTTACATTTTTCAAGAGCTGAAGATGTAATTAGTTATCTTTCATAACACCAAAGAAACGTTCTTATGGGAGCCAGAGAAAATAAATGTCAAATTTCACAAAATTCATCTTAAACATGAAATTTTCCGAATTTTACCTGTGTTTTCACAATTCTTGTGAAATTTGCCATTCATTTTCGTTCACGTCCACACTTATGAATCCGGGTAAATAGATAGGCGGTTTCATGACTGTCAGATTCGTGTGGATAGTGATCAACCTCAAATTTCTCTTTGTAACATCAATTCTTTTTAACACTGACGGGACACGACAATTAACAAGGACATGATCAGACAAGATGTATTTAACTTTACTATACTTTTACCCGTGGATACGTAAAGGTTTACTAAGCGGTTATTTAAAGGCTTAAGCATTCTCTTATTCCTTCCTTGCTTTTCCATATAAGTCGTTTTTATTCTAAACGACATGGGAAAAACTTACCCTTAGTATCTCCTTGGCTTTTCCAACATATCGTTAAGTCGTAACAACAGCACGATATAAAAGTGGAAACTATATTATGTATTGTGTGTACTAAACGAACCTACCTTTGATAAAATTGTCGTCGTTTCCTTGATAATGAGGCCATCTTTTGAAGACAACATCATCATTTAAAATCTTGGCAACTAGAGAAGCGGCATTAGCACTTGCAAATTGGCTCCATTTTTCATTTGTGGTCTCTCTGCCATCTGCATAACTAGAAATTCCCTTTACAACAAGCCACTCAACTTGGAGGTCAAATGCAGCTGTGTACAGTCCTGCAACAGAAACACGGCACCACTTATAAATGGGACCATTGAGTATAGCTGAGAAATGAAATGAATGACAGGATATCAAATTGAAAGGTGCGTTCTCAAAACCTGTAAATTTTAAAAACCTAGAAGGCTGAACAGATTATCCAAATGGTGAGCCTCTGTCTGGGTGTTTTCGACGTAATCGAAGTCGCGACGATCGCAATCAAGTTTGATTGCGCGCTCGTTAAATCTCGCGCTTGTTTTTAACCTGCCCCTAAGGGACCCCCTAAGGGCATTAAAAAGGACGCGTTGCTATGGGCAACCTATTTTTTTCTAATTTTTGCTATAATACCCCAGCCCCCAACTTTCCACCCCTACCCCACCAGGGATTTCATTACCTTCGGCTTCGGTGTCAACAGCCACTGCCAGAGGAAAGGTTTCAGCCAGCTGTTTACGCCGCAATTCTGTATTGATTACTTCTGGAACGCTCAACAGCTCACCGCTGCTGTGAATTTTGACTTCTCGATCTTCCGTGTTCTCCAAAGGAGCCTCCCAGCCAAGAGCTGAATCCTTAATGAGGTCAAGAAATCGTTTGCTGGCAAACGTTCTTATGTTATTGTGCAGCTCTTTATCATTTGTCACAACCTTCAATCCATATGTTGTCAACTTTGCAGAAATTACAACATCACCCAATTTGGTTTCCTCAGGACGGAGGCTACCGCACGTTCCCACTAAAATAACTGCTTTGGGCATAAGCACTGAGACAGCATTTTTTGTAGTTACTATGGAGCCTCCCGGACCACTAGAACCTTCATTGCATCGCAATAAAGCAACTTTTACTTTCTCATCTTGGCCTTCATTCTCGTCCTCGAAGTAAACAAAACCGAGACCGTCGAACCAACATCTGAACGGATTGTTCAGGTGCATATAACAAGCTAAGAACTCACAGTCCTTTACAGTCAATAACAAAATGTCGACAGGAAGGCGTGCATGATTCCGATCCTTTGTTGGTGATTGGATATCACTCATGCGGGGAAGTTTAACACTAAGCTGAGGCGGGTCTTTACTGGCGTCGCTGTGTTTCCTTTTAGTTCCCCTATTTGCACCATCTGAGATATCTTCTTCCTTTGAGTTGCTGCCCTAAGTCCATGGCGGACTGGTTCGACATTTCGTTCAGTTTAGACTTGAGAAGTCAAAATATATGGATCTGGCATATAAAGAGAACATACACTGTCACGTGTTTGTCCAGGAAAGGTTTGATGTAAAATAGTTAATGAAATGAAATTAAAATAGTATCATCCTCACCCGACTAGCCAGCGGAAGGTGTAAGTACGGCATTAATATACTAGGTAGATGTCAGAGATGTCAGATGTCTCTGGGTAGATGTTGTGGTTCGGTTTTAATTTTACTCGGCTTTTCTTAGTTTGAAACTCATCATTACACGTAAACACACTCAAGAACAAAGGCAAGTAAGACCCCGTTCACACTAGCCTCCCACGCACACGCTCTCTTAGCTCGTCACGCAACCCTCCCGTGGGGCAGGAACGTGACGAACCCGCTCTAAGAACGTCTGCGTGGGAGGCTACGTCCACATGAATTCTGTTCGCGTCTAAGATACAATGCTAACGATTTTCGGTTAACTTTTTCACATTTTACTACCAAGATATTGCGATTATTCTATTTAAAAAGTCTCCTGAAAATTTCGGTATAAAGAGCAAATATCCCAGAGAATTTCCCAATGAAAGTACGGCTACTCCATGTCCTCGATCTTTCGACCGGACCCAACACGCAGGGTAGCTAACTTTATTCACGGTAGCCATTGTCTTTAATCCCATACTAGAAACACCGAAAAAGAAAAGTTTTGAAAGCAAAAAGTCTACATTAATTTATTTTCGTTGGATTTTCCTGGTTGTTTTGCAGAACTGCACGAATACTAGCCCCCCTTTAACTATAAAAAGCCGCTCTTTGATATAACAAAAGTAGACATTAGGTATTTTGAAATGGCGATTTTCGTGAGGTACCTTCGCCCAAATCTAGGCATCGATAAAACCCGGAACACGGAACATGCCAGAACATCCCGGAACATGAAAAAATTAAAATATTTTCTTATGAAAAAAAAATTACAATAATAAAATATAATTTTTTTACAAACTTATGATAACGAAATAAATAACATAACATAACATAAAAACGAAAAAGGAAGAAAAAAACAAACAAACTGGTATCATCTCCGAGTATGAGAGAACAGTATTTTGTCCCAATTTGTTTGGCGAGTGAGTGTCCATGCAAAGGACAGTATTAGTAATGAGTGGAAGCTTGTCTCTATATTCTAAATATATTAAGATTGCGCCTAAGGAAGCGGGTTTTCAAGACACTCTTTCAAGCTTTCCTCACACAGCCACCTTTTGTAATCGTTTTCCATGCAGTTTACTGATCATTTGACGGTTATCCATTTTAATACGGCTTTGCGACTTCAAGAAGAGCTTAAGGCGGTTTGTGGCTTTGGAATTTAGTGGACAAGATTTACATTCGCAGAGAATAGTTTCAGCGGTAGTCAGGTATTGCAGTGGTAGTTTCTAACTGTTATCAGTTAGCCAGAATTTCAGCCATCTCCCGGAGTCTCAAGTGAAGTTTGCAATCTATTCATCTTCTAATCTGTTTGTTGCTTTGGAATTTGCAACGTTGCTGGATTTTAGTGGAACAGATTTCATTTTGGAAACATTAATGCGTAGCTATTCTCGGCGACTAGACTTTCTTGAATTAAATCCTTTGTTGATTTGCGTCGGATAACAAAGTTGACTATTTATCCCACATAACTACAAAAAAATAATTTTTAGTTCCGCAGAATAAAATAATGACCCAATAATTGAACTCAAGAGAGAATGATCTAGGTCATTCTCTCTTGTTGAACTCGAACTTTTATGGGAGGGGCTGCTGTGATTCTCGTGATCAGATGGAGATCCAAACAGACTTCCTTGTCCTGTTTCAGACTCCAGACATGACACTGACACGACGGAACCAAATCAGGAAAACAAAAAACAAACAAACAAAAACGGACGGCTCCTTTCCTTTCTATTCAGCTATGACCCGGACACGGAAATGGATAACTGTCAAATGGTTATATAAACTCATGACAAAAAAATTACAAGAGGTGGCTGTGTGCCTGAAAGCTTAAAAACCCCCCCTTCTGGCGGCCCATTTTAATATACAGTGTATTTTTGAATTTAGAGGCAAGCCTTCACTCATTATTGTCATTTGAATGGACCCTCACTCGCCCAACAAATTAATTGCGACAAAATATTGTTTTCTCATATATCTCTTATATCTTGCCTCTATTTGATTTAAGTGATTAAAATTTTCGTGCGTTAACGTCTGTGAACGTACCTTAAGTGTCCGGATGTTCTGGGCGATGTAAAACTTTAAAGTCGACTTATAAGTTCCCCTAAAACATCGGAGAAAATTAATAGTTTTAAGGCATCAAGTTAACCAAACAGGCTTCTAAAGCATAGAAAACTATTCGAAACACTTCTGACATATTTGGAAACATTCGGTCTTTGGGGCCCCTGTTTTTTTACGTTTCCCGTATGAACCCTATAAATCCTTACGTCATGCAATATTACTACATGTATAAATATTTTTTTAACAACCGTTCTCACATAGTGAGTTTGGGAAGCCTGTCACTAAAATCTTAAAACTGGTATGACCTACCTTGAAGGCATTTGATGAAAATTAAAAGCACGATATCAATGTGCTGATCCCACGGTCTCTAGATTTTCGTTTTTTGTCGAGGAAAGAATGAATTATGCTCGATTACTGCTTTTGGTTCTACGCCAGCCCACAGGAACTTGAAAATTCCACAGCTACGAGGTCCTGAACAAATAAAACAGTCCATTGTTCATATTCTTGGTGCACCATTGATCTACTGCGGTATGTTATTCAAGAGTGTGCCAAAGTGTCCGTATTAGACCAAGCTCTATCGTCATGGACTCATTTTTTATCGATAATGTAAAGAATAAAGCAGGCAATGACGACGCAGTCTTCAATTTTTGCACTAAACAGCAAAACAGCAGTGAAAATACGTAGAGTCCTCGAAAGTCCTCTTTAGTTGACGTCTTAGTTAGGAGTTGGATGTAAACGCGCTCACTTTCCAAAATTGGTGAAAGAAGTGTTGCTTGACATGTCTAAGATTGCTATTTCTTAGCTATTTCTTGGTTTCAGGGTGCACAAATGCGTAAAATATGGGTTTCCTGTAGCAAATCGGTAACCGGTAACCGACTAATAACCTGGAATCGCCGATACCCCGTAACAACTTCCAATTAGTTACACCATTCCTAACTCGAAATCCTAACTCAGCAAATAGGTATCCTCTCAGAGAATTAAAGCGTCCGTTCAAACAACAGGTTTTCCATGAATTCAATGTTCAAGGCACATCCTTTTCTCCTTGCAAATCGTTTACGTTTCATGCAGTATTTATTCTCCTAGCCTCTTTCCCTTTTTTCAAAAGCGAAAACACTGAATTTTTTAAATAGGTCCAAAACATATGTTAAATTGCGTCGAGTATTTATATAGTCTACACAAAATATGAAAGTCATGGAGCCACAACCTGGCTAAAACTTGGTTAGTTTTTGCTTATATCAAGTGCCAAAAATGTAACTGTTTTGCATGAGACATCAACAAATTTTTAGGAACCCTGTCACATCTTCTAACCGTTACTAATTTCCTAGCTTGCAGGAAGCAGACGCTTTTTTCGGCGGGTGAAACAAGAGCCGAAAAAAGCCCGCCCCCTCGCAGGCTACTGCTTTCCGGGCTTGTGCTTCGAATCGGTTTGTAGAAAGATGGTTTAACGTGATGGTAACTCTTTGAAAAGGAAATACCAGTTACCCATTTTAGATTCACTCATTTATCCTAGAGACACTTTTAATACTTGTCTTCGTGAACGAAAGTTGTTGTCTCTGTATATGTTTCACCGATTTATATTTCTTTTATTGATTGTTAGTAGTCTCTCTTCTAATTTTAATCACTGTGCCGTTTGTTTTCAGTCCTTCAGTGAACATCGCTTGCAGGAGTACTCAAAATGCCGCGTGTTAAACCATTAAATAAAAAATAAACATAATAATTTCTTTTATTTTTGTTGGAGCTTAACTCTAATTAATGTTCATTCAAACACTCGCCACAGCTCGCACTGCAAAAGTGAGAACCGGCTGGCCGTATAGGTGATTTTGGAATTTTTTAACGGTTTAGCTAAAAGCCCACGCATGCTTCGATCGTCCTGAGTATTGAATTCCAGGCCCTACTTAATCTACGGTGATCAAGAGCCATTATGGCTCTTAAATGTGATCGAAGATGATTTCCAGTTTTTGTTGTACATATGAGGCTATCAACTCGATGTAAGATTTGATTCACTCTTGGGCTGTTTCAAATTATTTTTCTCTAGAATTGCTTAGCCTTTCCTCAAAGTCACATGAATGTGCTCTAAAGTTAACTGAATTGTGGAAAGGCAAGTTTATTGTTTGATTTGAATTATAAATTTATTAATGAGAGCCTCGCTTTTAGCCCTGGCTAAATCTATTTAGTATATACTACAACAGTGGATAGTGTTTTTCGCGCGCTCTGATTGGCTACTCAATCAGTGAATATCCTGCACTATTCACTGATTCAACTCCAGTTCCTCCGAGCGAGCGACGCCAAACTCGTTGCGAGCAAAATGCCTTCCCGGTTGCTGCCGTAAACAAACAAAGAAATTTCGAAACTAATCAAGCAAGCTGTTTCCGAAATACACGAAGAAGGTGACGAAGTTCGGATTGGAAGTTTTAACAGGTAAAGCTTTTGTTTTTTGACACGAATTTATCCATATAAGAGGGTCTCAATGGGTGGTGGCATTTACGGTTATCGGCTAAAATTTTGGCTCTTTTACGGCTATCGGCTAATTTTTTTCAGTTACGGTTAACAAAAGTTAAAATTAACTTCTTTTGTTTCAAAAAAGTTAAATATTAATTAAGAACGAGAAGTCCAAAGACTACTGCAAAGCTGATTTAAAACAACGTGTATTGTTTTTTTATGACAATATTTCGGCTAGCCATACCAGCCTTCTTCAGGTTTACAGATGTTACTGAACTTATGTAGCAATCACAATATTATAT